AGCAAACTACTTCCATCTTATTGCCCACAAACACTTACAGGTGTGTCACGAAGTTACCCAGGTTCCAACTTGACATGAGAGATGTTTTAAGTCCTGTCTTATAAATCAACCTCTCCATACCTCATTTGTCTGTAGCTACCCCAGAAGCGAACCTGTTTGCTATTGGGGATAAATAAATCATCTCCTTTCCACGCTGCATGTGTGGATTTCATTCTGGTTTATTCTTCTGGAGCAACCCCGGCTCAAAATGGGACCCCCAAATTATTCTTCTGACAACATGAAATAGATTTAATAGGAAACGAAAGATGGGAATTACGAGCAATTTATAAAACTACAACAGGTATAAATTATTCCAAATTTTAAAGTGATTCCCTGCACCCGTCTCCTCAATTTAATGTTGGTATCCTTATTGATACATTAAATGCAGTTTTGGGCAATTATTAGCAAATGGTTACTGTGTCAAAAATCAATCAAACAAACAACAGATCACCTGGTTTGACCAAAAATGCAACTGCCTTTGGCTGCTGTTACTCACAGATTTTTATTGTTAACGGGACAATGTGTTTTTGTGAGTTTATATATTCAATTTATATGGCAGCTCATCTCAGGTCTGTGACTCTGGGATGTGGTGCACAAGCTTAAAATAAATAAAATATATACAACTACTAAAACCAACTTGAAAACACAATACGAATACAGCAGTCAAAGCATCATAAAAGCTCTTCAACATATGCAGGGAATAAGATTCCATCATATCCCTGGGCTTCAGATGTGGATCTAATACAGTGATGGCGAACCTTTTAGAGACCGAGTGCCCAAACTGCACCCAAAACCCACTTATGCATCGTCAGGTGCCGGGTGGGTGTGGCCCATTGGGTGGGCGTGACTGTGGTGGTAATGGCAGACTGTGTGGGACTAAAAAGTTCAATCAATCAATTCCAACTTTGCAAGATCTTTTTTTTCTCCCGCAAGAAGTTGAAATTGACTGATTGATTGAACCTCTTTTTTTTTGCACACAGTGGTGGAGGCTTAAAGCGAAAAGGTTTTATAAAACCCAGCTGAAGGCCTAGGACTGGGGCGATGGCTCATGTGCCCACAGAGAGGGCTCTGAGTGCAGCCTCTGGCACCCGTGCCATAGGTTCGCCACCACTGATCTAATACATTAAGTTATTAGTTTGATTAGTAGCCAGGAATGAGATAAAGCACTGCCCAACTCACAGCAAAGCGAATTGGACTTTTTACATGCAAGGTCCTTCAACATGGAAGCCACGCCCACCCCGTTGCCGGCAATGGCAAAACGGTCCCGATACGTTGCGCGACATCGCGAGTTTGACATGTCTGGTTTAGAGTGTAACTCACACTTACCCCAGCAGAAATAGTTAACAATTTATGGAAGCTGAAATGTACTCTGATTACAAATTGTCCTCATACCTCATTACGAAGCTCACAGACAGACTATAACAGTTGGCAAGGAAGCTTGGGTATGATTGAACGAATATGGAAGGACTCCAAAATCAAGAATCAAGACTATTCTTGATATTATTCCAAAATTTCAGACTGTTACACTTTATTTATTATATATATATATATATATATATTCGTGTCCACCTGAGACAGCGGAATTATGGAAAATGTAATGTAATCAGAAACTACTTTGCTTTAGAGCAAAGGACAAGGACAACTTCTTTTATCTCATTTCATACATGTCAGTGGATTTATTTGGAAGCTAATGACTGGGTAAGACAGCAAAATTAGTTTTGGGCTAAGACAACCAAATGGTTTAAGCCAGCTGCTTTCCAAATATTAGACAGGGAATTAAATACTGTAACGCTGTCCCTTCTAAACAGTTTTGTGACTACGTGATCAATATGAATTTAATGTCCTGTTGAGCATCTCCAAAGTGTCTCGAAATTAAAATCTCATCAAGTGCACAGCTAATAAGAGAGGTGTGGGATTGTACGTGTGTGGGGGGGGGCAACTGATTAGAGGACAATGTCATTGATGGGACAAGGACAAAAGTATGCAAGCTTCATGTTGGGTAATTCTTTCAAAAAAACTAGGGCAGTGGATACAAACAAAAACAATTGGAAACTTAATTAAGCAGTCAGCTCTAACGAAATGGGTCATAACCCCAAGCAAGTAAATCAAAACATGGGCATGCAATATTCATGGAAATCCAGATAGATGGGTAGCACAGTCAACAAAATAGAAGACAGTGATGTGAAGTATTGAAATACAGTTTTAAAAACAGAGCTCCTTTGAAAATTCTGATGACTATTAACATCCCATGAAAACAAACAAGGATACTGAATCATGAGATAGATTAACCAATAAATAACAATTTAAAAAAAAATACGTGAAGTATTAATACCACTTTACAATGCCTTGGTAAGGCCACACTTGGAATATGGCATCCAGTTTTGGTCACCACAATGTAAAAAAGATGCTGAGACTCTAGAAAGAGTACAGAGAAGAGCAACAAAGATGATTAGAAGACTGGAGGCTAAAACATACAAAGAACAGTTTCTGGAATTGGGTATGTCTAGATTAATGAAGAGAAGGACGAGGGGGGACATGATAGCAGTGTTCCAATATCTCAGGGGCTGCCCCAAAGAAGGGGGAGTCAAGCTATTCTCCAAGGCGCCTGAAGGCAGGACAAGAAGCAACGGATGGAAACTAATCAAGGAGAGAAGCAACCTAGAACTAAGGAGAAACTTCCTGACAGTTAGAACAATTAACCAGTGGAACCACCTGCCTCCAGAAGCGGTGAATGCTCCAACACTGGAAGTTTTTAAGAAGAGACTGGACAGCCATTTGTCTGAAATGGTATAGGGTTTCCTGCCTGAGCAGGGAGTTGGACCTCCAAGGTCCCTTCCATCATCATCATCATCATCAATCATCATCATCATCATCATCATCATCATCATCATCATCATCATCATCATCATCATCATCATTATTATTATTATTATTATTATTATTATTATTATTTTCCTATAAATGTGCTGGACACATTTCTCCAATAAAATATGGCTCCTAAGCCAGCCCCCCCCCCAAAAAAAAACCCCAAACCCATATTAAATAGAAGAAAAAACCCTTTCACCAAATTTATTTTAACAGGCCAAGTTTTAGGAGAAGAAAAAAAATGGGATGGGAAGAATAAATACAATCTGGCAGGCAGGGAGCTAGCCTCACCTCCCTTCCTATAGAAACATGTTTGTTTTCTAAAATTCAAGGGGGGGCAGAGTGCTTTTGAAGTTAAAAATAGGCAACTGCTTGCAAAGCTGAGGTGGCAAAATGGAACCAGCTCAACAAAGCAAACAACACATCCACCTTGTTGCTGCATAATTGAAACATCTAAGGGTAAAAGAGTGTGACCGAAAAAGCTTTGAAATAATAATAATAAAAAATGTTGGGGTGAGCGAGCGGGAGGTTGAGAGGAACAAAGCAAGAAGCAAAATAACAACGATAATGACAACAATAACAATACTGGTGATTCTCCAAAGAACCAATCTCTTTTTAAAGCATGGCATGCAAATGGGTAAAATTAAGGATGTAAACTACAGGATTATCCTCGTAAATTGGCTGTGAAAGTTGGACCATAAGAAAGGCTGAGCGCAAAAGAATTGAGGCCTTTGAACTAGGGTGCTGGAGAAGACTCCTGCGAGTCCCCTGGACTGCAAGGCGATCAAACCGGTCAGTCCTAGAGGAGATCAACTCCGACTGCTCTTTAGAAGGCCAGATCCTGAAGTTGAAACTCAAGTACTTTGGCCACCTAATGAGAAGGAAGGACTCACTGGAGAAGGGCTTAATCCTGGGAAAGATGGAGGGCAATAGAAGAAGGGGACGACAGAGAATGAGGTGGCTGGATGGAGTCACTGAAGCAGTAGGCGTGAGCTTAAATGGACTCCAGAAGGTGGTAGAGGACAGGAAGGTCTGGAGGAACGTTGTCCATGGGGTCGCGATGGGTCGGACACGACTTCGCAACTAACAACAGCAAAAATAGACATGGGGAGGGAGGTGGGGAGACAGAGATCCATTTCCTTGAGAAGAAGGAATTATTAGATTATTTTTTATTATTATTAGGTCATATTCCTTGGAAAGAAGGGATTAGATTATTTTGGGTAATAAAAACACCAACCACAGAAAAGATAATGAATTTTCTCAACTCCTAACAGTATATACCGTCCAGACTTATCATGAAAGAAAATCTAGGACACTTTGGAGTGCATGTCTGAAATGGCCACTCTAGGAACATGGTGGCTTGGGTGGTTAGGACATTGGATTGACAAGCAGGTTGTGTTCGAGACCCAGGTGCTGCTGTACGGTGGGGTGAGCACCTGTCCTTTGCTCCAGCTCCTGCTGGGGACCTGAAAGAAGCCCCCAACTTGGGCATTCCCCAGGCATTGGTGATGTCATCGGCTAATCTTTTCAACCCAGAAGCACCTTGGTGCTTCTGACACGATTGCAACGCAAGCTGCCACTTGTCCGGGTGTCAAAACTGGAAATTACATGTGGTGATTCTTTCAAGCTGAATTCTTTATTGTTTCGCACCTATAGGCAGAATCTTGCCAGACCTTAATACTCTACTATCTGCATCTACAAAATATTCTGTGAGCTATTAAGAAAGGTGTGTCATGGGTCCCATGACTGATGAACCCAACCAAGCAAACATCTTCAAGACGTTCCAATCTCTTAACGCAGAACTTTATTGAGTGCACCAATTTGGCACATTATGAAGGTGAAACCAGCTCTGGCCACATAGATCCACATAGTAAAAGCATTGAATTCTGCAACCTCCCTCTGGGTCAGGTCACCGTTGTGCAATCAAGTGGAAAAATATTGTTATGAGTAAGCATCTCTAGGTCTGGTATATAACGTCCTTGAATCTCATGGTCTGGCTTCTTAATCTTTGAACTCTGCATACCAAACTGATTCCCTCCCCGCCCAGCATTTTTTGGAAAGTTGAGAAGCAATTCTCTTCACCCTCTTTTGCTCACATCTATTATCTAGGCTGGATTGCCTTTTACTCCCCTTGAAATCCACCTCCTCACTATCTTCCATCACATCCACAAAAGCTGTGGCTGCTTTAAAGAGTGCCACGCCGGGGCCATGTTCGTGCTCGTTCTGCTTCAAGGCATCTTTCACCAATTTATCCCCAAAGCATTGTGCAATTCCAACAAATCTAAGTATGAGAAAGGACGAAAGGTCAATTTCCATTTCTGATACTGAGTGATTTGGACACCACAGAGAGGACCCTACAGAGAGATGCAATATGTTCTGACTTGCAAAGCAGCTGAAGATAAATTGCATCCTGCAGGGTGGTTTCATATATACACACCCTCTCTCCCTGGGTGTTAGAAAACAGCATTTGGTAGCCACTGAGCCATTAATATCCGGTCGGGTGCACCATTTCTTTCAAATATTCGCAGTGAAACTGAACAAATAAAAAATAAAGTGCCTGGAGACTAGAGAGAAGTGAATGGAAGAAAAACACTTCCACACGTGAAGGTGTTGTCAACTCTGCAACGAACCTGGGTGAAGCCATCTTGCTCATTTTCACAAGGACAGGGGGGGGAGGGATGGGAAATGAAAATAGGAGCCATTACTGTATTTGATATGGCTCTTTCTCAGATCAAGAATGTGACACACGCCTCCTAAAGTTGACCTTTTTCATGTTGTTTGGTACTTTCTTTCTTTCCCTTTTCTTTTTTTTTTAAAAAGCTTGCATTTTGAACAATACCAGAGTTAAATTATTCAGCCCAGATTTGTTCTGTAATTTTAAGAGAGGAAGGAATTTAAAACGGTGGTTGGATGCCAAGTTTAAATTGGAGCGGAGGAATATTCTGCCATTAGGAAAGGGTGGTGATTTACCGTTAATGGAAAGAGGCAGACAAAAGTTTCATTCTGTTTCTCTTTCCTTTTATAAGCCAACACTTTTGGGCAACTTTAAGAAGTAATAAAGCATTATTCGAGTGTTGGAGCATTCACAGCTTCTGGAGGCAAGTTGTTCCACTGGTTAATTGTTCTAACTGTCAGGAAGTTTCTCCTTAGTTATAGGTTGCTTCTCTCTTTGGTTAGTTTCCATCCATTGCTTCTTGTCCTGCCCTCAGGTGCTTTGGAGAATAGCTTGACTTCCTCTTCTTTGGGGCAACCCCTGAGCTACTGGAACACTGCTATCATGTCCCCCCTCGTCCTTCTCTTCATTAAACTAGACATGCCCAATTCCAACTTCCGTAGCCTGGTTCTGAACAGCTCATGGTACTGGACTGCAGCCCAGGGGTTGTGGACCCCACCTTTAGCTTAATCCCTCTTTCTCTTTTTTCACAAAGATTTATAAACAGTGGGAGAACCATTTTCAGAATCTGCCAGCTCTAAAAGGTAGCAGATACAGGTAGCCCTCAGCTTATGAGCACAATTGAGCCCAAAATTTATGTTGCTCAATGAGATATTTGTTAAGTGGATTTTGCGGCCTTTCTTGACCCTGTTGTTAAGTGAATTGCTGCAGTTGTTAAATCGGTAATGTGGTTGTTAAGTGAATCTGGCCTGCCCCTTTGACTTTGCTTGTCAGAAGGTCACAAAAAGACATCACGGGACCCCGGGACTCTGCAACCATCATAAATACGAGTCAGTTGCCAAGCGTTTGAATTTTGATCACGTGACCACGAGGATGCTGCCACAGTGTGAAAAACGGTCATAATTCACTCATTTTCAGTGTGTTATAACTCTGAACAGACACTAAATGGAGGGCTGTAAGTCCCCTGGACTGCAAGGCAATCCAACCGGTCAGTCCTAGAGGAGATCAACCCTGACTGCTCTTTAGAAGGCCAGATCCTGAAGTGGAAACTCAAGTCCTTTGGCCACCTAATGAGAAGGAAGGACTCACTGGAGAAGAGCCTAATGCTGGGAAAGATTGAGGGCAATAGAAGAAGGGGACGACAGAGAAGGAGGTGGCTGGGTGGAGTCACTGAAGCAGCAGGCGTGAGCTTCAATGGACTCCAGAAGATGGTAGAGGACAGGAAGGCCTGGAGGAACGTGGTCCATGGGGTCACGATGGGTCAGACACAGGACTTCGCAACTAACAACAACAACAAAGTCCAGGGCTATCTGTATTTCAGTGAAATACCTTGCATGCAGTTTGCTCTGTGGCCGTGACTACAGTATCAAAAGACATTCGTTTTTCATAGAATGACAACCCCAAATATAATTATTTCATGTCTAAGCATGCTTTGCTTTGCATGGGAATCTTCATTTTCTAGTCAGTTAGGTCTAGTAGATATTCAATATTTTATCTGAGAAAGATGGGCTCCTGATTAATGAAATGTAGCCTAGCTATAGGGATTGTTTTCTTGTTTTTTACCTCAGCCTCTTCTCACCAAGGTATAACTCCATTTGTCTCAAATAAGAGGTGGGGAAAAAAAAAGAACTTCATCATGAAGTATTTATCAAAATTGAAGGCTAAGGGAAGGGAAAGAAAAGTTTTCATTTATTTTTTGAAATATGTCTACATAAAACCAGTCATTCCAATTGGCTGCAGAGGATGAGGAAAGAATTAAGTTTATGTGGCAAGATTAACAACACTTTCAGAGACTATTTCTTTCATCTTGTCACCATTAAAATACTGTAACTTTAAGGACATACGGCTGAGATCTTTTTTTAAATTATTTTTCTTCCTTTTCACTTCCAATGCCTCAGCTTGAACCCTCAGTGCATGCCCTGTGTTTTGGCAAAAATGGAGTGGAGTGGAATAATAATAAAGATGTTATTCTTGCTGTTTCTTCTTGGTGCGATGCTATTCTGCCATGAATATTTTTTTAAAAACACACATAATAACAGATTGGCTGTAAATAACAACGCTATGATCCACTGGCATCTGCACCAAAATTATAATTTCTGAGTTTCTCAAATGTGATATAATCACGACATTGAAAGAAGTTGTTGAAAAGAATGACATACAAATGGCCATCTAGAATAAAGCACATCCAATGCAAGAGTAAGATGATTGATAGATGATAGGTAGGTAGGTAGGTAGGTAGGTAGGTAGGTAGGTAGGTAGGTAGGTAGGTAGATAGATAGATAGATAGATAGATAGATAGATAGATAGATAGATAGATAGATAGATAGATAGATAGATAGAGAAGAGATAGAGATAGAGATAGAGATAGACAGACAGACAGACATGATAGATGATAGATGATTTATATAGATATAGATATAGATAGATATAGATGATATAGATATAGATGATACAGATATAGATATATATAGAGATATAGATATAGATATATACAGAGAGATGATATATATAGAGAGATGATAGATAATGTAGACAGACAGACAGACAGCAAAAGACAAATGATAGCTAGCTAGCTAGCTAGCTAGCTAGCTAGGTAGGTAGGTAGGTAGGTAGGTAGGTAGGTAGGTAGGTAGGCAGGTGGTGCATTGATAGAGAGAGAAGAGAGAGAGAAAGACAAATGTTATAGAGTGAGCGATCAAGAGACAGACAGAAAGAGAGATGATTGATAGACAGATAGACAGACAGACAGACAGATATAGCAATAAAAATAGAATGCAAAAGCTCTTGTGAAGTAACCCCTCTAGCTATTGATGCATTAGGAAGAATACCAAATCAAATAAACACCTTAAACTGTGTTTTATTATATCTTAGGATGTTATTTGAATTATTTGTTTGTTTCAACTATTTATATGCCAACTATTTCACAGCAGTGGCTCCTGGACAGCATACAATTTAAACAATCCATCTAATAAACGTCTGAGGTTCCTGGCATGAAGCTGAATTTCCAAAGAAGCGAGTAAACAAAGTGATTCCTTTTATTCTGCTCTTTCTATCGTGTTATTTCCGCCCCCCCTCCCAATGAATAGGAAAGATAATACTTGTTAGGAGGGTGCATCGTTTTAGCAGCAGCACTTTTCAAGGTGCATAATCTTCTCAATTAGCTCATAGAGTTTATGGATTATTCCTGCATGAGAACAAATGCTTCAAAACTTTGAGGGCGAATCCAGCAACAACCATGGAGGAGACTGAAATTTATACCAAAAAGATATATGTTGCGTAGGATTCCACCCGTCACATTAGAAGCATTTACAGATAGTCCTCGGCTTATGACCGTGGTTTTTAAGTGAAACATTTGTTAAGTGAGTCTTGCCTCATTTTTACGACCTTTCTTGCCACCGTTGCTAAGCGAATCCCTGCAGCTGATAAGCTAGTAACCCGGTTGTTAAGTGAATTTGGCTTCCCCCCATTGACTTTGAGTCTCAGACGGTCGCAAAACGGGGTCACGTGACCTTGGGACATAAGTAGGAACCAGTTGCCAAGCACCTGAATTCTGATCATGTGACCACAGGGACGCTGCAAAGGACGCAACTGTGAGAAACGGTCCTGGGTCACTTTTTCCAGTGCCGTTGTAGCTTGGAACGGTCACTAAACGAACTGTTGTAAGTTGAGGACTGTGTACAGTGGTAGATTAAGATTGACTAAGAATAAATATAAAAGCTTGATTAGGAAAAGGTTTAGTTCCTGTGGGAGATGATGTGGGAGGCAGGCATGAAAATGTTCTGCAGTGAGACCTGTCTTATACGCCAGGGATCCTCAACCCCCCAGTCTGTGGACCGGCACCGGGCCGTGGCATGCCAGCATCCCGTCCGCACAAACAAGCAAAGCCCCATCCGTGGGATGTCGGCAGTACATAAAACCACACACGCTCCGGTCCACGGAAAAACCTCTCTCCACGGAACTGGTCCCTGGTGCTCAAAAGGTTGAGGAACCTCTGTTATATGCTACAAGGACACTCATGATTCTCCTTTTCAATTCTTAAAATATCTAGAGGCAGAAAACCTATTTCGCTGCCCAGCTCACCCTTCACTGAATCTTCACTCTCCTTTCTCCGTGCTCATGTTCACCCTCTGTCTTCTCGCATTACGAGACATTTCTTGAAGAGCTTTCTGGTGGAATTATTTGACTGGAGCCTTAGGGTGGGGATTTCAGAGTGCCTTTACTCCATCCTTTTCCTGTTCAGAGCTCAAGGATGTCCTCGCCATGTCCCTGGAGTAGGCAATTTTCACACCTTTGAGAAGCATAGCTGCGAGCTTTTCTCCTGCTGTCTACAGCAGGGGTCTTCAAACTCGGCCCTTTGATGACTTGTGGACTTCAACTCCCAGAATTCCTCAGCCAGGCATGCTGGCTGAGAAATTCTGGGAGT